CTGACTGAGGAAAAGGAAAATGAAAGATTGCGTAGACTGATAATTGTATTATGAGGGGTCAGCCTAACTAGATATCCTGGGAGATGGTGGACGGACCAGGTCCGTAGGGAACCCTACCGGGATTGTGGTCTCACATGCCGGACGGGGTATGGAGATCTTATGGTTTTGGCGCCCATACCGGACGGGGTATGGGGACGGCCCGTTTCACCCTCATACCGAACGGGGTATTGAGGTTCATGGTTTTGGCGCCCATACCGGACGGGGTATGGGGACGGCCCTGGAAACTGATTATGAATGTTAAAGGTTAACAGGTAGCGGAACCCCTATGGACCCCCACGGATACTAGTAGGCTGGTAAATGAGAAAAAGATATGTTGTACAATGATTGAATTACAAGAGGCGTGATAAGTGTTATGTTTTACAGCTTATATTATTCCATGATTATGATAATGTTATTATTTTTCTTATATTGTTTTCATAAATTCCACCGAGGTAAGTGGATAGTAAAGGTTTTCATGTTAATAAATGAGTTTATTGTAAATTATGCTCCATTGGTCTTTTTGTGTTTTTCTACCCACCTTTACCTCCGTGACGGTGAGATATCGTGATGTTCTTACTGGACTAGTGTAGCTCACTCCTTATTTAACCATTTCAGATCAGGAAGACATGGTTCCCGAGCCCGTTCCGCAGGAGGACGACGAAGGGGATGCCTAGAGACTCTGTAGTCATACTCATAGTTTTATTTTTGAGTTTCTTTCTTAGTTAGTTTAATCTTTTATATTTTAAGTACGTTTTTGGTTTTTCGTGTAAGGGATGTTAACTGAAATTTTGATCTCGCTTCCGCATTTGATATATTTAAATACTCATTTCATTTTAATATTTCCGGGGCCGTTACATTATATATGAATACCACATGACAGAAACATGTCAAACAACACACCCTTGAAAGAAATAATGCTAACATGAAAGAAGAGATTGATATAGAGTACCTAGCATCCTTAAATACCCATCAAGATATTTGTTGAAGATGTTGCACGAAAATTTTATGTGTTACCGCATATAAAAGGGTAGTACTTTAAGACCACGGTTGGAGCTATTACTACACCCTTCGTTTATTTCGAAGATTCTGATATTCCAAAAATAGTAAATCACACCAAAGCTTTCCATACCTCAGTTAAGCACAAAAAATGCAAAGATTGTGAGATTGTGTGTTAATTAACAGCAATTCGTGTTGTGAATCTAAATAACTTTCACCATGAAAACTCTTAAGGTTAATCTCTTCAAGTTTGGTCTACAAATATTGTCAGTGAAACCTTTCGACATACCAACAAAACAATCAAGCGATTGATATTGACCCTCCTAGAACATATTGTTAGGAAGTCAATAGTTACATGTAATAAATATAACTTCCTTTACTCTTCACTGGTATGTCAAGTACAGGTTCGAAGTAAAGGTGCAATTCATATAAAAGAAATTTGAAATTTAAACGAACTAGTATTTCTATTTATTACTTTCTTCGATTCGAACTAGTATTTCTATTTATTACTTTCTTCGATTCTCATGTTAAGGATTTTATATTTTCAAATACGAATATATGAATTTTACAATCTTGAAATTATATAGATATGAGCCAATCTAACATTTCTTAGTACCTGTAATATGTAATAGATTACATATTATTTGAAAACTCTTATCTCTACTCATCAAACTCAAATTTTCCCCATACGTAAATTATTTTTCTGAGTAGAATTTATACCCACGTATATATATTTGTTTATGTAGTGTATATTAAAAGAATAATTGTTTGAATAGATGATATATATATATATATAGAGAGAGAGAGAGAGAGAGAGGAGAGAGAGAGAGAGTAGACAGAGGGAGTGTATTTAAGATGAGGGTTCGATTTGGGTCCACATGATAAAAAAATTTGGAAACAAACGACAAAAATTAGTAGTGGAGTCTTCAGTTTCTATCCCGAATAAATTTCCATTTTCTCTCCCATTTTCCCAGAAAACAAACATTAACTCTTCTCTCTCTCTCTCTCTCTCTCTCTCTCTCTCTCTCTCTCTCTCTCTCTCTCTGTCTTTCTCTTTTTCTGAGAAGAAATGGAAGGAGGAGTTCATGCAGAAACAGATATTTCAGCTTTCAGATACTGCTTCTCTCTCACATGGAGGAATCCTTATGTTCTTCGTCTTGCTTTTTCAGCTGGGATTGGTGGACTTCTCTTTGGTTATGACACAGGTTTCTAATACTTCCTTTTCTTATTAAATGATTCCAAACACTGGTTTTGTCTGTATATCTACTAATGTGTATATATATATACATATACATACATACATATATATACATATGCATACACAGTAATTACCCTTTATTTTTTCCTTCACAAATTTCATTTTCACACTTGTGGTGTCAGATTCTTCAATTTGAAATTTGTGGGTTTTTTTTTCATTTGGGCAATTCACTATATATATATATATATGCAGTAATTACCCTTTATTTTTCTTTTTACAAATTTCATTTTCACACTTGTGGTGTGAGATTTTACAACTTGAAATTTGTGGGTTTTTTTTCATTTGGGCAATTCACTACAGATATATATATATATGTATATACAGTAATTACCCTTTATTTTTTTGGTCACAAATTTCAGTTTCACACTAGTGGTGTAAGATTTTTCAATTTGGAATTTGTGGGTTTTTTGGGCAATTCACTACATGAGAGTTTACTGGGCAATTCACCACACACACACAGATATATATATATATATATATATATATATACAGTAATACCCTTTATTTTTTTTTTAGTTTTATGTTAATTTAAATTATATATATATATATATGTATACATGCAGGAGTGATATCTGGTGCTCTTCTTTACATTAGAGATGACTTTGACTCTGTGGATAAACACACTGTACTTCAGGTACATTAACATTTAATTTTCTTTTCATACTAATTTATGACGTCATTTTTTGTGTATTTATAGTTTTAATGTAATTTATTATTTAATAATTTACTCTTTTTTATTAAAAAAAAATTAATATATAATCAATGGAATGTGGCCGATTCATTTTAACCCATCACTCTTCTGTCTTCTCTTTTGTTTGGATAAAGATGTATACGTATATACACACACATACATATATATATATATACATACATACGTGTATATATATAATATTATATATATATATATGTATTTGTGCCAGAAGATTTGAAGCTGATCTGGGTTTGTCCAGCATGAGGGTTCACTGTCAAGTCAAATTTTATATGTTCTTGTTAATTGGGTACCTCGGTTTTCTATTCAATTACCTTATCTATAAACCATTATTTATATATATATATATATATACACATTATATACACTATATACTATATAGTATATATATATATATAATGAATTTATATGCCTGCTATCATGTACGGCCAAAATATGTGACAGAAAATCCATCGTCACTCGTTGACTATTATAATGGATTTTCTCAAAATTTTAAGCTATTTATAATGGCAATATTATATTGTAATTAATATATTTTTGAAAATGATTTGGTGTTTTTTTTAAAAAAAAAGATTTAATTTAATTGGTTTTTTTTTAATTTTTTAAAACTTTTTTTCTGTTATTTTTTTATTTAAAAAAATATGTAATAAACTAAAAATATAAGTAATAAATTCAAGAAATAATCATATATATATATATATATTAAAATCTCATATCCATCAATCAAGTATGAAATTTGAAATAATGTATATATTTTTTGACAATTTTTTGAATACCATATGATTTTTTAGAAAAATATGTAATAAACTAAATATATATAAGTAATAAGTTCAACATAATCATATATATATATATATATATACATAATATCATATGGATGGATCAAATATGAAAATCAAAGTAATTTATATAATTTTTTGATAATTTTTTTTTAATACCTTATGATTTTCGAAAGAATCTAATATGATCCGAGACTCAATTCTCGATCTCTTATAATTTAATCGTTAATATATATCTATTTTTTTGCGTGATATGACTTTTTTTTACTAACGCACGAAAAAATATGTTAAGAGATATGAAATTTGAACTCGAACAGTTAATAGATATAATCAGTATGCATTTATACAGGAGAGTATAGTGAGCATGGCAGTTGCAGGAGCAATCATCGGAGCAGCCATTGGTGGTTGGTTGAACGATCGTCATGGAAGAAGAAGTGCAATCTTGATTGCTGATTTCCTCTTCTTTATTGGAGCTGTGATCATGGCTGCTGCTCCCAACCCTTCTCTTCTCATCATTGGTCGAGTTTTCGTTGGCCTCGGTGTCGGAATGGCATCTATGACATCCCCTCTTTACATCTCCGAAGCTTCTCCGGCCAAAATCCGAGGCGCTCTCGTTAGTACTAATGGATTTCTCATCACTGGAGGCCAATTCTTGTCGTACCTCATCAACTTAGCTTTCACTAAGGTCACAGTTTATCCTTAAAAACTTCAAATTCAGAGATTTAAATTTGTTTTGTTGCTAATTTCCATGCTTGTTTAGGCACCAGGAACTTGGAGATGGATGCTTGGAGTTGCAGGACTTCCAGCTTTACTTCAGTTTATATTAATGTTGCTACTTCCCGAATCGCCTCGATGGTTATTTCGTAAGGTTCGTAAATGATTTCTTCTTAAACCTCCATTTCTTAATTGAGTTTTCTCTTTAACTCTTTGTCCAATATCGATAATAATATCAACGAAAAAACATTCTCCTGTGCTTCGAGACATGCTGAGTTCCACATATTCTTTACGGGATTTGAATCCGATAATTCAGTTTCTTGTCTGATATCTAACTCACAGGGAAGAGAAGAAGAAGCGAAAGAAATTCTCCGAAAAATATATGCTTCTGAAGATGCTGAAAAGGAAATTCAAGATCTCAAAGAATCAGTGGAAGCCGAGATTCGAGAAAAACAATCTGCAGAGAAAATCAACTTGATCAAACTATGGAAAACAAAGACTGTGAGAAGAGGACTTATTGCTGGTGTTGGACTTCAAGTTTTCCAACAATTTGTAGGCATAAATACAGTCATGTATTACAGTCCTACAATTGTTCAATTAGCAGGTTTTGCATCAAACAAAACTGCTCTTCTTCTTTCTCTTGTCACTTCTGGGCTCAATGCCTTTGGCTCCATTGTCAGTATCTACTTCATTGATAGAACTGGCAGGAAGAAGCTTCTTATAATTAGTTTGTGTGGAGTTATCGTCTCCCTCGGATTATTGTCAGCGGTATTCCATGAGACTACAACTCATTCTCCAATCGTTGGTCCGGTAGCAACCTCCCGGTTCTCGAATTTCACTTGCCCGGATTACAAAACAGCGAGAGACGCCATCGCTTGGGATTGTACCAGGTGCTTGAAGGCATCATCACCAGATTGTGGCTTCTGTGCTTCTGAAAGTGGAAAGGTAAAATTTTTAACTCATTTTCAATTAGTTCATTTATGTTTATTTAACGATCTGTAGTATTTTACATACTTATCCGGATAATTCGTTTTAGTATTATATATTTTCGTATAAAAACATAATATGAGATCATAACTAAATATACCTCATAATTTATCGAAAAATCCATCTTAGTACTATATATTTTCATATAAAAATATAATATAAGATTTTAGTTAAATATATCTCATCTCGAATAATTTATTAATACTATATATTTTCATACAAAAATATAGTATAAGACGATAGTCAAATATATCTAATAACTTGTAAGGTAACTGATTTTACTATTATATATCTTCATATGAAAATATAACACCGAATTTCAGCCAAATGAACTTCATAATTTATCGGGTAATTCATTTTACTACTATATATTTTCATATAAAAGTATAACATAGGATCATAGCCAAATATACCTTATAACTTATCGAATAATTCATTTTATTTATTACTTTATATATGTATTGTTTACTCACGAAGATGCTCGGTAAAAAGCGGATAAAGGCAGTAATGTAATAGTTAATATTATTGCAGCTATTACCAGGAGCATGTTGGATATCAAATGACACAGTAAAAAGTGCATGCCAGGACCAAGGCAGGTTATGGTACACTAGGGGATGTCCAAGCAGATTCGGATGGCTTGCGTTAATCGGGTTGGCGCTCTACATCATATTCTTCTCACCTGGAATGGGAACTGTCCCGTGGATCGTTAACTCGGAAATATATCCATTGAGGTTTCGAGGAGTGTGTGGAGGGATAGCAGCTACTGCAAATTGGATATCGAACCTTATAGTTGCTCAATCGTTCCTGTCTTTAACCGAGGCAATAGGGACCTCGTGGACATTCTTAATATTTGGTGTGATTTCGGTGATAGCTTTGGTGTTTGTGATAATATGCGTTCCCGAAACTAAAGGATTGCCCATCGAGGAGATCGAAAAAATGCTAGAACATACAGCTTTGCACTTGAGGTTTTGGAAGAATAAGAACTCTAAACAACTAGACAAGAATCAAGGTGTATGATTCTATAAAATCAAAGTGTACTTATAGTGTTAAAGATACAACACATCCGTCGTGAACGAAATCAGTGTACTAACTACTTGACGAATTAGACCTTTCATCAGCCCCTTGGTAGTATCACTTACAGCAGTCTCCCAATGAACTCTCGAACATCATGAGAGAGGATATTATCAGAGTATCTTTCCCTAAAATATGTACTACCTAAAAGTGATTTTTGTATTGTATTGTTGTCTTTTTCTTATATCCAAAACAAAAAAGTGTATTTAGAGGATCTATGCTATGTAATTCAAATATAATGGTACTTCGAGCTCTTATATTTGAAATTTATATCGATACTGTTCAATCATGAATCATAGA